CCAATGCTCTGCCAACTGAGCTACGCGGTCAGGTCGGTTCGAGTATGCGATATTTCGGAACTGAGTCTAGTTCCTTCGATATCAGTGTAATCTAATAATCATGAAATTTGCTGTGTTGGTGTAATGTACTCAGGTGAATAAGATCTGTGGGGACAAATCTGTGGGGACATTAGTATCTATATATTGCTTTGATGTCCTAACAAGTTTTGATCAATTGCAACTAGTATAATTATAATTTTTAATCTAGTCTCTTTGTAAACTTAATATATTTTGTGTTGAATGTATCAGTATCTATACCGATAGCACTGTTTGAATTAACTCAGACGAAAAACTGAACATAAACTCAGACAAAAAATAACACAATGACTTCTGGTAAAAACCTATAAAAATATATAAGTTTTGCTATTGGAAATATACTGACCCAGTGTATTTTTCTTGTCATGATTCAAGTAAAATGTAAAGCTTTCATTCCAGACTGTGTTGTATGTATCAGACTTGACCGTCGTCTGTTGCTTGCTGTTAGGACTGGTACGAACTCTCAGCATCACATACGGATCTGGTCTTTCCACTAAAACTGAGAAACTTATTAAGTTAACTTACTGAAATGTATAGACTGTATAGAGATTTATAATAATAGATGCACGGATTCTGCATTGTTTTACTCACATTTTGTCAGCCGGAATCCTTGAAGGAATCCTTTAACGCTGATATCACTTGCTTTGACAACTGTGACTGTCAACTTCTTTATTTTCTCTTGTTTTACCTAATATTCAAACAGTAACTTTAACTATAGTAATATATATGTCAACAAGTCATTGACAACTTGTCAACAAGCTGGGAACAAGCATGCAGTGCGAACACATCCTGTTGACAAGTTGTTGGAACAACATTGCTACAAGTCTGCTGCAGGTTTGTTACAACTTGTGCGTTTTTACGTGCGAGTAATCACAAATGTGCCTTTTCTAGTATCCGAGCGTCCCTAAAAAAACTGGACGTATACACCGTTTGATTTCACTTAACGTAAAAGCTATAAAAGCTATCGCAATGAAATAAAATAAAGATCATTGCATTAGAAAGGACTAACATAGATTTTGATATATAACAATTGAATTTTAGATAACATCAAACCAGTGTCCAGTTTCTTTGGGACACCCGGTATATTAACTATGGATTAACAAGTCAACAATTAAGGGGCCGATTACATGGAGCATTTTCAACCCCGGGGTTGAACTCAGCCCTGTTTACAGGGTTGAAATTTCAGCCCTGTCTGTAATACAAAACTCTATCAAAATCAAACGCGCGATTACATGACAAAGGGGGCGATAATTCAAGATGTTTAGTCGTACATGACTGGTACGCCTATGGCAATGGTTGTTGCCGCTTACTTGCGCTGGTATACAAACTCGGCACTCAATGCATGTGTACTTATGCCCGTATTCTAAAAGCTCACTCACACTTAATGAGTGGAGGTTCAATCTGAGCTTCTCTCGAGTGTCATTGCTGTTTTTGAATAGCTGGAGGGTTAGTGTCGTACCTTACTATGTGACTGCTCACCCTCCAGCTATTCAAAAACAGCATTGACACTCGAGAGAAGCTCAGATTGAACCTCCACTCATTGAGTGTGAGTGAGCTTTTAGAATACGGGCGTTAGTCTTTAAAATAAAGTTCATAAAGTACTGGTTTCTGAAAAGTATGTTCAGACTACGAGATAGAAAAAGAAGCACAATTGCAATATACAAACAATCGACTCCAACGTTTCTTAGTGCCATCAGTCCAATCATGTTTCATACCAAGACATCTCAGACACATGATACACCAACGATAGCACTGCTCGAATAAATAAGAGCTATATGTGGGTTTACGGGAGTTGAAAGGACTTATCAGTGTTATAATTTTGGTAGTCTACAACATTGTACTGTGTATATGTATTCAGTATAAATATAGTTTGAGTATTTTATATAATATAGTACACGCCCCTCGTGGAAATCAGCTAATACTTTTTTTCTGTGTTGGTGTTATGTACTCAGGTGAATTTGATGTTTGTGATGTTACTCTGAGTGTGCATCCACACCGGGCAAGCAGCTGAAAAGTTTGTCTGAGCACGGTGAGATCGAACCCACCGTGGTCAGGCAAACTTTTCAGCTTGCCCCGTGTGGATGCACACTCAGAGTAACATCGCAAACATCAATCAGCTAATAGTTGACGGGGTTAGCGTACCTATACTTCCGGTACGTAAGTACGCGAATTATCGCACCCTGAATAAACGTACGGATTATATAAACGTTCATGACGCATACCAGGAATACAGTTGGCATTCCCCTTGACGTTAAGACAGCACGTTTCAAGGCAAACTATTGATGTCCATTGAGTTATTTTTAAATCACATACAAAGGTTCCTTGTTTAAAGCTTGGCAAAACTCGAGGCTTTGAAGATCCGTTTTTTATATACACATAAATGGATTCATGTAATTCGATTAATTCCAAAGAAGGCTCATGCAAAGAACCGAGTCAATATAGAAGCTATTACTCAGTCCAGAGAATTTCCGGCTATACTCAAAACAGAACACTGTTTCCTCAAACATTTCTTACAAATTCTTCAAAACGATCACAGATTTGATAGTGTATAAACCAATCTATATACGGAATGCGAATGTTTTGTATTACTAGGCCCTACAATCTTGGAAAAATATCTGTAGACTTTTCGAAAAATACACCCAAATTTGAAAACATATGATGAAAATGTGAGCATTTTTCAATTAAAGCAACTATTTACGCAAGGCATGAGAAAGTCCGCCAGCATGGCAGCCAGGAAATTTTTTTAATCTCACAGGAAATTTTTAAGGAAAAGCAAGATATCAAGAAGGAAGCTCGACAAATTTCAAAAATTAGCATTAAAGTAACAAACATCACAATTATAGAGCATAAATACAACAATCATAACATAAAAATTTATATCATGAGGCAGTGCTACGACTGTCTGTTATCATGATTCATGATTATGATACATGTAGAAAACAAGGGTGTACTACTATTATTGAATAGTGGATGAATACTGATATAAATTCAGATTTACAATCTGAAAACAGAATTAAAATATTGTTTCATAGAATTACTTCATGTTCCTAATTCTAGTAAACCTATATTTTTCTTAATATTGAGGTAGTATATGCCTTATTAAGGTAGTATATACGACGCTGTTATTAACCACAATTCATAGTTATAAAAAAATTGGCAGGAAATTTTAGGTCTTGGAAACCTGCTGCCAGGAAGAAAAATATTTTATCAAGGCTTGTATTTACCTTAAATTCCCCCACCTCCTCCCCCCAGAAATTGTCATATCTGTCCCTCTGATAGTTTTTTTGTTATTACTGCCACAATTTTTTGTCAGTGCAGCCTTACCGGATAATTAACCGCAATTTTCCTTTGAAAACAGGGCAGCTACATTAAGTCCCCCCCCCCCCATCTACCGACCCTCCTGTGACCCTTTAGAAATGTACCTCATTGTTATAATTTGAATGCCTGAGTCCTATCACAATCCAATTCTATCCAGTGGATAACGCTACCCGGTTTTTGCACAACCGACCCTGAGCCTAATTGCAATGACAAAACGTTGAAATTTCAACC